CCCCCTCCTGTGTGGTTCTTATCCAATAAGGCACATTTGCATCTTCTGTTTGTGGTCAAATAACAATCTTAACTCCATCCTTCGGCTTTTCATCCTCCTTCTTCCTTTCTTTGATCACAAGCCCCATATTCTCTTCCCCTCCTTACCCTCCCATTATTTTACATTTCTTTTCTTCCCCATCACGTTCCTTCCCATCACTTTCCATTTATTCCTTCCCTTCCATCACTTTCCATACCTTCTCCTCCCATCACTTTATATTCCTTTTCTTCCCCATCACGTTCCTTCCATCACTTTCCATTCCTTCCTTCCCTTCCATCACTTTCCATACTTTCTCCTCCCATCACTTTCCATTTCTTCCCCTCTTATCTCCATATTTTTTCAATGATTTTCCCTCATTACATTCCTTCCTTTCCTTCTCCTCCCATCAACTCACATTTCACCTCCTTTACCCATTATTTCATTCCACCCCTCTCGCTTCATTCCATTCCACCCCTCTTCCTTCATTTCATTCTATTTCGACTCAAACAGTTTGGTTTATATTTCGACTAAAACACTCAATAACAATAGATTAAAAGGATTACCAGTGTAATTATAGGGGACTTCCTTTTCAGAGTATCACAAACGATTCACAACCATTTTATATGATGGGATTTTTTATATCTTAAAGATTTAAACCGTAGTTGTTANATCTCTTTTCTTAGTTTCTAATTCCGCTGTCCTCATCTTCATGTTCTGCTGAACTCTTTGAACGGCTAAATGCAACGAATCGTGATGTCACAAAATTGATTCCTGTAAGGAAAAATAGAATTAAAGAAAGTTCAAAGTTTGCGTATCCCTTGTTTTTAAATAAATTTTGATAATTTTATCTTAGCGATTAAATACTTGAGCTAGCAAATATACAATATATGCTTTATCATCTGCAGATAATGATCTACACTGTAACTATGCTTTCTACAAAATATTTATCTTTTGAAAAGAAAAGTTGAGAAAGGAATCGAGTTTTTTTTTGTCAGCAACTATGATTTTCTAACCTTTGCAACCCAATGTCGTAGACCTTAAAAATTTCAAACTGTGAATTCTGTGAGATCATCTAAGTTTAAAATATCGAAGGTTTACACTATTAGGTTGCTAAATTCAAGTGATTAGAAAATTTGAGTTTTTGGCAGACTCAATTTTTCAATCTCTTTTCTCAATCTCTCCTCCTCCCTTCTCAATCTAGTTTCTCAATCTCTCCTCCTCCCCTCTAAATCTCTCCTGTCCTTCTTATTCCTCTCCAGCTCCCTTTTATCCCCTCTTCTGATCTATCCTCCCCCCCTCCCTCCCTCCCTTCTCTGCATTGCTGATTAATATTGATAAATCTACAATTTAAGTTTCCTTGCTTCTCCCCCATCCAGCCAATCCCCTCAGGAACAATTGGAGAAACTTCCAGGTTCCGATATATTGAGCCTACTCAGGGTACAGAACAGAACTGTTTACTCTGACAAACTCGACTTGTCAAACCAATCGAATTACAGTTATGGATTACTTGTACTAAACCCAATAAACCACAATATTGGTAACCCCCCTACCGTTGGTCCTTAATTCAATTATTTCAATGAATAAAAATGTTCATGGGGACATACAGGGTTACCCGCAAAGGATGAGACTTCAGGGACGATTTTACGAATTTACATTGTCTGTTTCCTTGTATAATTCACGGTTCCCTGCAACTATAAATTTGTGCCTTTCTTTGCCAAATCATTGAATAAAACATTAGGTAACTATATATAAGGGAGACTTCATTATTTAACCTTAGAATCGTTACATTTTAAGAGTTCCTGGTCGTCTTTACTGTCTCATCCTTTGTGGTTAACCCTGTACTTAAGAATATACAAAAATTAAATAATCTAAATAGGGAAAATAAACTCGAAGCAACGAAACAAATGTTTGTATTTTAATTATCCTCGACTTATGAAGTTAATTTGTAAGATTATAGCTCTGCTGTTTCCTCTGTCCCACTACTCAACGATTTCAAACTTACAGTGACGGAAGTTTTAAGCTCGGTAATAAAGAATTTTGTTTTAAAACTTCCGGAGTCATTTCATTTTCTCAACATTTTCTTTACACACAACTAAACATGGAATTTCATTAACTTCTTTTCCTATGCAAAATTTTTGTGATGTTATTTCTTTTAATTTATATAAAAGTAAATCCATATATCCATATACAAGTAAATCCAGTAGCCTTCTAGGAGACTGGTTGGCCATTTTTAATTCCGGTAGCCGTCTTGGATTCCGGAAGCCATTTTGGTATCAGATGGCCATCTTGATATTTGGTATCTGTGGTTTTTAATTCAGTAGTCTTGATAGGATTTGGAGCCGTCTTGAAATCCAGTAGCAATCTGGTAGTCATCTTGGATACGGGTAGCCATTTTTAATTCCAGCAGCCATATTGAATTCCGGTAGCCATCTTAGAATCCGGTAGCCATCTTGGAATTCCCTAGACATCTTGGATACTGGTAGTAATTATTTATTCCGGTGCCGCATTGGATTCAGGTGACCATCTTGGATACTGGTAGCCATTTTTTATTCCGGTAGCTAACTTGGATTCCAATAGCCATCTTGGAATCCAGTAGCCATCTTAGAATTCGGTAGCCATCTTGGACTCCGGAAGTCATCTAGGATTCCGGTAGCCGTCTTAGAATCCGGAAGCAATCTTTGATTCCGGTAGCCATATTTGATTCTGATAGTCATCTTAGAATCCGGTAGCAAGCGTAAATTATGTCATAACCTAATTTGACAGCCTCAACGGAATCCATGTATTATCTAACTATTTTATCCCAATGTTTACCTGATTATATTTATCAGTATTCGGCAAACATGTTGGATTATTGAATATAGATTTATTATTCGTTAAAGATATTTCCTTCAAAATTTCAACACCTCTCCTTGTAGAATCATGTAGTTTCCACCTTTAATAATTAGCACGGAATTGCGTAAAGATTTCGCGTAAGTTCTTGTAATGCCAACTTGGAACCCGGAGCAAACATTGCGCCAGAAAACAATGAAGAATGGAGATAGATAAATGATTCATTTCAATGATACCTTGCTCCAGGCCTGACTTAACCTAGCTATAATAGAATAATGGTATCTGTGTTAAAAACATGATTTCAATTTGCTAAATTTCCCATTTTGTATAATGTGAGGTTTCATGGTTGCTCATTTCTCAGTATCCGTCCCTGTTCTCAGTAGACGGGGATTGGGTTACAGTTACTCCAACACAGAAGGTAAATATCAAGGTTCAGGTTGAAATTGAATTGAGAAAATAGCAAACATTTCTTTAATAAAAATTGTTTATTTATTTAAAAAATCAAATTTTATTGTCTATATATCTTAAAATATTTAAACAGTTTGCACAAAAAACTTTTTACACTGGTAACTAAATCCTTTTTTCCCTAACAGACCACAATTTCTAAAAGTTAGGGTGCTAGCTTTTTTTAAATTGCAAAAAAAAACGGAAAACGATGAAATTTAAGTGTTTGTTATAAACAATTAATAAATTGTGACACAGACTGGTTTTACATCCATTTTTCAAGGGCTACCTCCTAGCCTGTTAAATTAACAAGTTGTCACTCTAATGCAGTAGGGTTCACTTCCCTTTTTTTGGTGTGAAAAAAACGGCGTAGGGATTCAATTGCATTGTCCTTTTTAATCACAGTTTGTAACTTGGATGAAAAGTTGGTGTGAACACCCTGTTATGGCACGACCATTTAGAACCCAACTTTGTTTAAGTTGTGGCGTGAAACTGTAGAAATTTAGAACCCAACTTTGTTTAAGTTGTGGCGTGAAACTGTAGAAAAATGTTAATTTCTCGAGCTAAATTATCAAGCTTATGCATAATCTAGATTTAAAACTTTAAGAAAATTCAAGAAATATTAGACTCTTTTATCTGGGATGAAAGCTTCGAAAAAAAAAACATTAGGAAATTAAAATTTTACTAAAAATTAGTCCGTTCCAACACATTATAATGTTCAAACTCATTGATTAATATAAATAACGTTAACAGTGTCAAAATATATTTAATAACTTTATTATAAAAAGACAACAAAATACCCCAGTTTCATGGAGTTTCCTGTTTAATGAATATCCCTGTACGGTTTGTATGTTTATAAACTTCTGGAAAATGCCGCATGATCTGAATATGAAATATTGTTGCTAAAAAAAAAGGCGGCTAGAACGAAATAAATACAAAATATTGATGCAAGCTTGGTAAGATGTTATTTTCACATATTCTCCATTCCCTTTCTCCATTCTTCTATCCCTGGTGTACCCAGTTATTCTTCTATCCCTGGTGTACCCCAGTTATTCTTCTATCCCTGGTGTACCCTAGTTATTCTTCTTTCCCTGGTGTACCCAGTTATTCTTCTATCCCTGGTGTACCCCAGTTATTCTTCTATCCCTGATGTACCCCAGTTATTCTTCTATCCCTGATGTACCCTAGTTATTCTTCTATCCCTGATGTACCCTAGTTATTCTTCTATCCCTGATGTACCCTAGTTATTCTTCTATCCCTGGTGTACCCCAGTTATTCTTCTATCCCTGATATTCTCCATCCATTCTTCTATCCCTGATGTACCCCAGTTATTCTTCTATCCCTGATATTCTCCAGTTATTCTTCTATCCCTGATATTCTCCATCCATTCTTCTATTCTGGATATTCTTCAGTTATTCTTCTATCCTGGATATTTTCCTATTATTCTTCTATAACTGATATTCTCCTATTATTCTTCTATCCTGGATATTCTCCAGTTATTCTTCTATCCTGGATATTCTCCAGTTATTCTTCAATCCTGGATATTCTCCAGTTATTCTTCTATCCCTGATATTCTCCTATTATTCTTCTATCCCTGATATTCTCCTATTATTCTTCTATGTTTGAAAGTCTGCAGCAATATACCTGTTCTAAAGGGTTCTACTGGGACACTAATATTGCTGAGGGAAGAATAAATATCTGGAAAAACATCTCTAAAATCCTCTAACAATGCAAACTGTACTCTAGCCAGGAATTATAGTTTAGAAGAAGTATATTATAAACTAAACCAAACCTAAAACTACAGCTCACAGTGTTGCATTAAACCTTAGTTTAGTTTATTCTGTTCATGTGAAAGTTTTAAAATGGTCGAACAAATATTTATAATTAAAAGTATCCAAAAAAATACCCGCAGTTCTTTCGCTTTCTTTCTCAAATATTCAAATCAATTATAATCCTTATTTTCTAGTTCTAAGTTTCACTTTTGGTTGATTAAAAAATGCTTAAGTTAGGTTTTAAGTTCTCTTAAAGTCTGACAGTTGTAGAACGAATCTCTAATTTTTCTTCTCATTTTATTCCAATTCATGCGTTCCTGATAAAAGATATTTAATCTGAGTGATATTTCATGTGAAACAAGTTTTCCTGAATCCAACCCCACCCCCCTCCCACCCCATCCTAGAAAATACCTGAGTAGTCATGATCATTTCCATTCCTAGTCTGCAGGGAGTAAATATAGTTTTCATTATTAAATTATCAGAACCTGGTTTCAATGTTTCCAAATCCAATCCGAATTATTGATTAACTATTAAGCTGAAGCTAACCATGCGACTTTAACGTGAATATAATTGACTTTTATCTTTTCATTCTTTGGAATTTTTTGATTCTTTTAGTCTCTTTTTATCTTTAAGCTTAAAATGTTAACATTTATTTACAAACTTACAAGTCTTATGGTAATTTCTTTGCACAGTTTAATTTGTTTTCATGTCTGTTTTTAAACATTTAAAGTTTTCAGACTGTTAACAGGCTTGAAATGAATCTGAGATGCAAATTGTAGTTTAAAATTGAATGCTGGATAAGTTTGCTTTTATTACACATGCAAAACTTTTACTCTGACCAAAGACATTAAGTAAAACGTTTAGTAAAATCGTTTTCAGTTTTTCGTGTTGAAAAATCGTTTTGGTCAATATCTTTGATCAAAGAAAAAAAATCGCATAATGTAATAAAAGCAAACTTATCAGGAATACAATTTTGCATTGTGATAAATAATTCGCATTTTGTGGAGCACTTTAAACGTCAAAAACTCCTAAACATCTCAAAACGATGCCCATAAGTTCCTACGCCACCTTTTTCGGGACTCATGCCACCTTTTTCGGAACCCACGCCATTTGCTTAGAACCCATGATATCTTTTTCGGAACCCACACAACTTGTTACCGGACCCACGCCACCTTTTTCGAAACCCACGGTACTTTTTTCAAAACCCATTATTTTTGTGACTCACTCCATCTTTTCCGGGACCTACGCCACTTTTTTCGAGACCAATGCAATCTTTTTCTGGACTAACGGCGGCGCCTTCTTTGAAAACTACCGTGTTATTATTTTATTTAATGTTTTCTAGGTTGGAGGTTCAGACGGTGACTCTATAGGAGAACGAGATTATGTTGTAGAAGCTGTTGAGTACTTTAAACATAAACTAAAGTAAGACAATTATTACAAGAATTGTTTTTTTTTTCTGTTTGGCTTCTTGGTTTGTTTCCATTAATCGCCGAAAGGCTTTTAAAACTTGCCCCAAATATTGTGTGAGACCTGGCATGGCCCCAGGGGTGTTTTTTTGTCGGAAAGTTTGATTTAGTTTGGAGCTAGAAAAGTTTGTCCTCAGTTAATAGAATAGTTTAAAATGTTCATTCAATAATCCTTATTCCTGTATTTTAGGCAGTATGGAGCTGGGACGGAAGTACCCATCAAGAGTTTGTTGGGACACAGATCACAAGCGCCTCCTGAGGTTCGTCATATATCAGGGCAGCATGTCAAGGAGTTCACGGATTTTCTCGCCAAGTACCCGGAGGAGTTCGTCGTTAACGAGGAGATTGTCTACCTCAAGGAGTATGAGGGGAAGATTACGAACACGTTCAAGGAAATCGAAGAAGTTCGAATCGATCCTGTGATCACAAATCAATTCATTCAGTTTTTCCGCGAGAAAATCGATTCCTCCGGAGAATTGAACGTTGACCAACTGTTCAATATTGCGGTCAGACAATTCGGCGAGGAAGCTTGTGGAAACCTGTTCAAGACTGGACAGGATCTTTCAACCTTTCTCCGGATATACTCCCACATTTTCCATGTTCAGAACCATATTGTTACTTTGGTTCCACAGAAAACATTTTCTTTATCTCATTCAAACAAGGAACGGAGATTTTTCAAAATAAAAGTTTATAATTTTTGAAATCCATTTATCTTAAAAAAATGTTGTAAGTCACGAAAAGCCGATTATAAGAAATTGTTTTAAAATTTAGTTGTTAAGTTTCCGTTTTTACGTCAGGCTCCTTCTATCCAAAATGGGTTTGGAGAAAACAGGAACGGAGATATTATCAAGAACGGAGACAGGAACGGAGATATTAGTCCTCGAAACTCTTGTCCCAGCACTGGTTCCTCCTCCCCCGTCCCCCGGGATTCACCGCGGGAGAATCAGATCTCTTTGAACCAGCAAACCTTGAAGCAGAGGGTTAATATGGTTGTCCTGAGAATGCTGGCTCAGAACTCGGACCAGGATCAACGCTCCGGGGGTTTAGGAGTTCAGGAACCTAGAAACAACCCCTCGGATCAAAGATCTGTGCTCCATGAACAACGATCAATGCAGCAGGAGCCTAGACCTCCGGTAACAACGGAGTCAAGAGAATCCTTGAAGTTCCGAACCCTGCAGGTCTCAAGAGTAGTTGTAAACGTAAAGGAGAGTTCTCAGATCGTGGAAGAAATGCTCCGAGTGGGAGAACCAGTAGGGTTGGACGGAGAGGGAGTAAATCTTGGTCCTAAAGGTAAAAATGTTTAAAATATCAAAAAAAAAATCAAAATAGCTGTTGTATTTTTATATATTTGATTTGTTTGTTCATACTTTTAATCACTATGAAATTTGAAGACAATTTTTTAATATAGTTTAACCATATGAAAGACGGCTTTCTCTAGTTCTCTAGATGCGAATATTTATTACTCTATGATACAAAAAACCTGATCCTAATCCTGATTATAGGAAAACTGACCCTGGTTCAGATAAGTACTATGTCGGGTCAGGTTACTCTATTCGATGTACTCACCAACCCTGCTCTCATGACGCAGGGGGGACTTGGCAAACTTATTCAATCAGAGTTAATCGTTAAGGTAGATTCTTCAACTCTTTTCTTAAGGTTTATTTTTCATAAAATTGTGGTTTATATTATCTTTTTATATGAGATTAACCTGTTTTTTTTGCATTTTTTTTTATCGGAAATCGTCCAAATATTTTTACTAACTATCATAATGATTTATAAAACACTAGCTTGAGAACCCAGCGTTGGCCAGGGTACTCATAGTTACTCCCTACGTTTACCCTCGCTTGGACGTAAATTACGATTTTAGCTATTTTATTTATTTCCCAATAAAAGTGGGCCGGACCCACTCAACTTAGAATCTCAAAACCAAGCTAAGAACATTCCCGTCGTTCTCCCGAGTTCCTCAACCAAAATCTGAGGCAAATCGGTCCAGGGTTTCTATATTATGATCGGACATAAACAAACAAACAGACATCAAAACTTTATATAGAGACATGCTAGACTCTATCTGACGTTCATATCAAAACATAGCGTCACTATTATAAATCATTTATGAATATTTATTTACAGGTTGTACACGACTGTAGAAATGATTCTGCTGCCTTGTACCATCAACATGACGTCACTATTAGGAACGTATTTGATACACAGGTAAACAAAAATGACAAAATAAGTTTTTAAAGCATCTATTATTCATGTAATCATAACACAAACAACAACATTTTACAAGAATTCTTCAGATTATGAGATTGCTGATTTGCTAAATTTTTTACTGGATTTTTTACAATTATTTATAAATTGCATAACATCTACATAAAAGATTTTGATTTTCCTATATATTCACTATTCAGGCCGCACATGCAGTACTAGAGCTCCAGCAGACGGGTAAGCCCGTGTACAAGGTGAAGAACGTCTCCTTAAACGCTTTGTGTGAGCAGTACAACGCCCCACTTAACCCCATGAAGGATCAGGTGATTTAAGGGAATTTTCCTATTTCTATTCTTGTTCATGATCATATGTCTATTCCTATTCCTGTTCCTATTCATGGTCAAATGTCTATTCCTATTCTTATTCCTATTCATGATCATATTCCTAGTTATATTCTTTTTCCTATTTATATTTATATTACTATTCAAATAAGTGCAGAACACATTTAAGCAGATAATAGGGTTAAGGGTAGAAAATATTTAAGCAGATAATAGTGTTAAGTGTAGAACAGATTTAAGCAGATAATAGGGTTAAGTGTAGAAAAGATTTAATCAGATAATAGGTTTAAGGGTAGAACATGTTCAAGCAGATAATAGGTTTAAGGGTAGAACAGATTTAAGCAGATAATAGGGTTAAGGGTAGACCAGATTTAAGCAGATAATAGGGTTAAGTGTAGAACAGATTTAAGCAGAGGCTGAAGGGAAGAACGGAATTTTTTAGAGAATAGAGTTGAACGGAGAACAGATATATTTGCAGGAGAAAGGTTTTAGTGGAAATAAAAATCCCGACTCTCTCTCCTCCTCATCCTTGACTCCTATAATATCCAATCTTCTAAACCTGTTTTCTTATGCATCTCTCAACAAAACTGCATTATAATTTTTTATTTAGCTGCATGCATGTCTATCCCCTCCCCCCTTACATAACCTGATACCCCCTCCTGCAAAGTATGCGGTTGGAGTAAAAACTGGATTTAAAAGGATTTTCCAATGGGTTCGGTAGAAACTATTACGGATACTGGTTTCTACTTAATCCTTTGTAAAGTTCTAAACAAACATGCTCTCGTCTGTCTATCTATCTTTCTAAATATTTATTAATCTATCTGCCCCCCCCCCCCGTCTCCTCTTCAGGGTAATTCAGATTTTAACCGTCTAAAGCTTATCTAAAAGCTATCTTGGACTCTGACCTATTTATATTTCTCTTTCCACTTTGCAGCAATGTGATCTTCTATCTACCGCGAGAGCTAAAGGAATTAATAATAGTAAACTTGGTTGCCATTCCAAGCAGTAATATTGTTAATATGAAATCATTATTTTCAGGTAAAAAATATATATCGACGAGATCAGAAATTCTGGGCCCGGCGACCGCTAACACGAGATATGATATGTTACGCGGCAGCTGACGTTCTTGCACTGGTTCCAACCATTTATACAGCCATGTCGAGGTATTATTATTATTATTATTATTAGCGGGATAAAACCTGAGTTTATGAACCTGTTCCTCTCCCTGTGTGAGGAGCAGAGTCTCATGTACATCCAGTCCGAGGAGGTGAAGGAGAGGAAGAGGCAGAGGAAGGTTGAGACGGAGGTAGCAGATCTCCGGCTGAAACTAGCAACCACGCAGAGCAAAAATATTGTTCTATCAAACCGAGAGATTCGGTTACTCAGGTACACTATATAGATACATACATTTAAGCCAGTGCTAGGATCCGGATCCGGGTCCAAGGGTCAAAAATATCATCAAAAAACTGCAAAAACAAATCTGCTCCACTCCAAACCAAATTCTGAACAAATGAGAGATTATCTAAAATTTCCATATTCCTATAAGAGTTATCAAGATTTAACATAAAAAGAAAAAAGAGGAAAAATTATTTAAAATTCTTTTTCTGTGAAAAAATTCAGTAAATCTTAAAAAAGAAAAATGTGTCAAAAATTCTACAGTAAACTAATAAGATGTTTAGGAACATATTTCTCAATAGAAATTTGTCAATAAATCAATGTTAGAATCAATTATTTCTTTTTCATAATTATATTTAATTTCTTATTCTCTACGAATTTGTTCGCAGTTTTTTTAAATTCTTAAAATGTCGTCTTTTCAATAAAAATTCCAGAAAATCTACAGAAAATATATGAGAAGGTAGAGTTGAAAGAGGGAGGAAATATACTCAAGAATTGAAAAGGATCTGAAAGGATAACCCACGAATTATTAAATTCTGGAGAGTTGTTAATTACAAATATTACTAATTCCTGGTTTTATTGTCTCCAGGTATGTCGAGCTTACAGAGGAGGATAAGGAGAAGTTAAAAGGATCCTACAAGGTGGCAAAAAAGCTTGAAAAGCTAGAAAGCAAGGATTCCCGAGGTTTTGATTCAGGTGAGGAAAAAGAAAATAATTGTTTTGATAATTTTGAAAACATTTTGAAATTTGAATTTAACAAAGAATGACATTTGAACGGAGTTAGCCACAAGATCGAGTTGAATGTCGTTTTATTTTATTTCTTAGGCGTTTTTTTTAAATGAAGATTGTAATTATGGTAATGCAAGAACGAGGATGATGATTATGTTTAGATGAGGAGGATGATAATCATGTTTAGATGAGGAGGATGATGATTATGTTTGGATGAGGAGGATGATGATTATGTTTAGATGAGGAGGATGATAATTATGTTTAGATGAGGATGATGATGATTATGTTTAGATGAGGAGAATGATGATAATGTTTAAATCAGGAGGATGATGATTATGTTTAGATGAGTAGAATGATGATTATGTTTAGATGAGGAGGATGATAATTATGTTTAGATGAAGAGGATGATGATTATGTTTAGATGAGGAGGATGATGATTATGTTTAGATGAGTAGAATGATAATTATGTTTAGATGAGGAGGATGATAATTATGTTTAGATGAGGATGATGATGATTATGTTTAGATGAGGAGAATGATGATTATGTTTAAATGAGGAGGATGATGATTATGTTTAGATGATGAGGATGATGATTATGATTGTGATCCTGGAGATTATCCAAGTATGGAAAGTGAGATGAGTGTTCCATCTCCAGAGTCAAGTTTATCTCCTAGACCTTCCTCCTTAGCGGAGTCTATGCAGGTATAATAGACCCGGAGTTAAAACCATAATAATATTAATAATGATTTCTTCCTTTTTATCGGATTCTAAATTCTAAAGTAAGGTATCTATTTACAGTAAAGTGAATGAGTTTTGGAGATAAATGAAAAATGTGATCTCCAAACTTAAACTTTTTACATCTTTTTTACGAATCTCCCCCTCCCCCACTTGCCTCCCAAAAATTGAAAAATAATTAGTTTGCAAACAGGGAACACACTTTTGATTTTTTCGCAATCCTAAAAAGATTTAGGTTAGCTTTATTTTTCATTGGTTTTTGTCTGATTAAATGATTGTTTTTTTTTCTCAGATGGTTGATGATATTCTATCAGATAACAGTATAGAACGCCTGGATAGAATAGACAGAATAGATAGTATCCTAGCCGCAGCACACGCCTTAAACTCTTTCACACCTTCCCCTAAACTGGAGGGAACAAAGGTCGATGCAGAAACTCAGGTGGGAAATCTATACATTAAAATTAACCGTCTTTAGTGAGCTGATTAGATAGTTAAAATCTAGTGATTAGATAGTTAAAATTTGCTGATTAGATAGTTAAGATCGTTTAACTCTACTTATTAGATAGTTAAAATCTAGCTTACCACAATTAATATTTTTCCATTTCACATATAAGAAAACTTAAAACCTATTCGCCTTACTTTCCCTCATTTCTTTATTTTTTTATTCATTAATTTTAATATTCAGACGATGTCAACTGGAGATATTGTTATCACAAAGGTGTATTTCCCTGAAGGTCAAGGACTCAGTTCACAGGTAGAAATTTTGTTTACTACAAATTTTTAATAATAATATCTAACTACTTATTTTATTTATTACAAGCTGAAGTGCCCGCGCGGCGTTGTCCGTGAAAAAAAAAATTTAATTTAAAAAAAGGCGATTTTTGAAAATAAAATTTTGATTTTTAATCCCTCAGGGTACCCATGGGTTCCCTAAAACAATTCAGCCGATTTGGTCCAGCCGTTTGGCCAGCTATAGCTAAAATATAGTAAAAATATATATACATATATGAGTGAAGAGCTTTATTATATATAGAAGATATTATTATATTTATATTTATTTTATTAATTATGCATTTCTATTGCAGGAGAACACACCACAAAACTCCCCAAAGAAGAAAATAGATATAAGCTAAAATCAAACCAAAAGATTATTCGTCTTCCACGTGTTTGGAAATATTTTCAAAATGGCGCTGCCCTCGAGATTATGTAAAGAAAGCGCTAACCGTAAAATTTTGCAAATATGGCGCTATATACCAACTAGATGTCGCGTTGCAACTCGTGATTTAGACTTTTATAAATCCCATTAGATAATGGTTACCTTTCCATATTCAGTATTTAGAACTATGTAAATATTTTTTTCTAGATAATATCACAAGTTTACACGACAATCAAAATATTTATACTAATCTTAAAATGATTTTTAATTGAGATTTTTCTTGACCCGCCGTAAACTTTAGAAAACTTGTTTAAAAGATTGGAATCATAATTTTTAGAGAGAAAAAAGTTGTTTTAATTTATTTAAATAACAAATCTCAAAGCTGAAATTTCTTAGATGCCATAAAAAGAAAAATTTGATGTTCACTGTACAAATTTGAATTTATAGCTTGTACATAGAATACATTCAGTTCTAACTATTCTACCGATACCAGTTTCATCATATATATTATTCCCAGGTGGCTATACTGACTAATATTTGTTAATTTACATGTCAATCTTAGTTACAATCCTTATTATATGTAGATATTATTTATAACAATTATATTTAACATTATCTGAATTTTTTGTAAATTTATTTATTTCAGTACTTAAAGAAACCCCTCCCAGGTGAAATTACATATAGGCAACGATAAATGTAAGAATAAGTAATGGTTTAAACAAATAAAGACGACTGATCAAAAGTTTTAAGGATTCTATTTTTCAAGAGCAATTTCTTATTATAAGTTTTCAAGTTATGAAACAAAACGAGAAGAAATGGGACTCCAGTATCATCTAAAGAATGAAATTTCAGAGACGACTTCACGGAGTTGATTCTGTCTGTTTTCTTAAATTCCTGATTCTCTGAAACTATAAACTTATTTCTTTCTTTGACAAATCATTAAATAAGCCACGACGACTTGATTTAAACTTGAACTCGTCATATTTTAAGTCGTCTTTACAGTCTCATCCTTTGTGGGTAAATCCTGTATATCTGATCACTACTTGACCAGTACTAGTGTACAATGCAATATACATGCTATGTACTGTTGTTTATTCTATCTATATATAAATTTGGCTTGTCTGTCTGTCTGTTTGTCTGTTTGTTTGTATCCAATAAACGTCAAAACGGCTGAACAGATCGGGCCCAAATTTTTTGTGGGACATCACGTAACCACAGGGAAGGTTTATGAATGATAAAAAAAATGTGTTATAAAGGTTTTTAATTTTTAAAAAAATTTAAATTCTTGAAAATCCGCGATTTTTGTTTTAAATCCGCAAAATTTGTTTCTTCTTTGTTTTTAAATGTAAACTAAACATGTTCACAATTTAAATAGAAGATGGGCGCAAAGCGCCCTAAAACCTTGGTATTTTTGAATTATTATTCATATTTTATAGATATTAAAAGATAATTGGGCCTATAATACCGATAAATGGCAACGATATCCTTAAAATAAAAAAGTTGAATGATAGTTTTTGATTTAAGTGCAATACACATTTATCCCCCCCCCCTTTTTTAAATCAATAAAAAACATAATACCTAATTCAGTTTATTAAACTTAAAGTTCATTTAATTTAAGTTAACATTTTATATTTGTTTTCTGAAGACCTATTTTTAAGAAAAAAATTATAATCCCTTATATTCAACCAAAAAACTTTGTTTTAATCCTTCTTAGGCGTAATTTATGGGAGACACGAGGTTGCAAAGTGCTGCCAGTAATTCTGCATCAAAAGAACTTTTTTATTTGATATCATTGTGTCCTATCCTTCTGGAAGTGATCACACTAGAGCTGAGGCCGGTCGAGTCTTAATTCAATGGTCACAGCACACCTGTTGTTCTACATCGTTCAGAACAGTTTCTAAATTTGTTTCTTCATTAAATTTCCAAATGTTAAATCTTGATTTAATAAAACTATGTAATATCTGTCCCAAGAAAATTGGAAAAGAAGGATCGTTACAACACGTGCGGGGTTTTTGGCTAGTTTTTTGCATATATCTTCTGTCAGGGTCAAAATTTGACAGAGTGTAATAAAAAATGTTTAGAAGAAACAATTTAGAAAAATTTGTTCTTTTAACACTGACAAATTTTTGCCCTGAAAGAAAAAACTGCCCAACTAGCCTTAACTTGTCTTGCATGGTAAATTTGTAAAAAAAAATTTTTTTATTTGGTAACATTTTGACCCCCCCCCCATAACAAGTCGCACCCTAAATCTCAGAATGTTTATCTTTTTTAAATTGGGTCATAAGGCCGGGGGTCAGAATTCAAAAACCGATTTTGAGACCCAAAATAAAAAAATAAAAATTTTTTTTTTAAAGGATATTAAAGTGGGTATAATTTTACAGGGGGTTGGAGGGGGTAATAATTGGAAAAAATTTTATACCCCATGGATGGGAGGTTTTTTTTAAGGTCCACTTTCTATTTTAATCACTGAAAGAAAAATAGTAAATAGTTAAAGTGATACTGTTTAAGACAAGTTCTCGGCAAAACATGTTTTAAATCCATTTTGTAAACCCGATGTCGAGGAACCAGATGACTTAAACCCAATACTGAATTATGAAATAAAAGAAGTTCATACATTTAACAAAGAATTGCCTATTTTGCAGCAAAGGTTGGATGACTGTTGTATAAGCGATTTTTGTCGCTTAATTGCCAGCCATTCAACTTTTGCCTCAAAATATGAGATTATGAAAGTGATCGGCAATGTATGGTAGTTGAACTGAGAATGTGGTATTGTGTTGAAATTTTTAAAAATTCAGTTGAGACATATTAAACGTTTTAATGATGTATAATTATTGAATTTGAGCGCAAAGCCGATGTTCAAAATCATCCATTTTGGTGGTTACGATTTGAGAATCAATTATTTTTGAAATATTAAATAACTATTAACTATTAAATAACTATTAACAAATATTAAATATTAAATAACAAAAATGTAACAAAAATTGACTACAGTAAACTAATTTGTTGTTTAGGAACAGGTTGAGAAAATAAAAATTAACTCATCATCGAAAATAAGTAATCTTATTCAGTTTCTGTAATTGTTCGCAAACAATTTCTGTAGATTTCCTGGAATTTTTATTGAAAAGACGACATTTGAAATTTTTTAAGAAATCTGCGAACGAATTTGTTAAGGATAAGAAATTCATTATAATAATGAAAAAGAAATAATTGATTCTAACATTGACAAATTTCTGTTGAGAAATATGTTCTAAAACATCTTATTAGTTTACTGTAGAATTTTTGATACATTTTTGGTCGTCGTAACCACCCAAAAGGATGATTTTGAACGTCGACTTTGCGCTCAAACTTAGTAATTATATACACCATTAAAACGTTTAATGTCTTCAGTGAATCCTAAGAAAATCATAACAATACTACATTCTCAATTGAACTACCATACGTTGCCGGTCACTCCCTTTAATTTCGAAATTTTTCTAGGCGTGACGTCCCCTTAACTTCTCAGGAGGGGGGGGGGGGGTTGACGTAATCCCCTATCACCGCTTTGCAAAATGTCCTTTTTTGAAAGCAAGGAAAAAAAACAGGAAAACCGATGAAAAATGCAGTGTTTACTTTTTTCACTTATGTTGTAATAAACAATATTGGTTTTCATATTTCCAACACCTTTACTTTGTTAAAGTACTGTTTTTACACAAGGGAAGTATAACTACCAACAGCAAAATGAGTCGTCGAGCAATACGACATTTAGTAAACCTAAAGGAATACGACATATTATTTCATTACCGTAACAGTAAAAAATATTAAGAATTTATGTATTTATTATATACAAAGAAAATACAAGGCAAACTCGTAGCTAACAAATAAAATTAAGAACATGTGAACAATGGTAAAAGGTGTGATTCAAAATTTAGAATAGTGTGTTTAATGCTCAGGTCTACGTAGAATAGAAAAGATGTGGTGATAATACAATTTAGCTGATTATCTGTGTTCAAAGCTCAGTTCTATGTAGAATAGAAAAGATGTGGGATAATACAATAATAATGATTATCTGTGTTCAAAGCTCAGTTCTATGTAGAATAGAAAAGATGTGGGATAATGCAATAATACTGATTTAGTGTTCAAAGCTTAGTTTTTGTGACAGTGAAACACTATGGAGCTTGTTTTGTTCTCAGTTGTTAGCGCTTCTGGGTCAAACAGTAGACGCAGCTCATTACGGTCAACATCTCCTTCAACAAACAACAAGAAGATATGAGGCCAACAGGGAGAATCTGAAAAAAATGTCAATTTAAAGATGTCATTTAGCGCATCATTTTCAATTCATAAGCATTCTTACTATTTCCTCTAGAACTTGAAGTGTTTATATACGGATATTAATTTATTTATGAGTATTATTTTATATATGAATATTATTTTTTTCTATGAATATCATTTTATCTACGGATATTATTTCATCTGAAGATATTATTTCATCTTCATATATTATTTCATCTACAGATATTACTTCGTCTACAGATATTATTTTATCTACGATAGTATTCTATCTAATGAAAATATTTTATCCACGGATATTATTTTATCTGCAGATATTATTTTATCTACAGATGATATTTTGTCTACTAATATTAATTTATCTACAGATAATATTTAAGCTATGCATATTATTTTATCTACGATATTATTTCATCTACAGATATTATTTTATCTACGATATTATTTCATCTACAGATATTATTTTATCTACGATATTATTCATCTACAGATATTATTTTATCTACAGATATTATTTTATCTACAGATATTATTTTTCTACAGATATTACTTTATTTACAGATATTATTTTATCTATAGATATTATTTTATCTACAGAATTTACTTTATCTACAGATTTTACTTCATCTACAGATATTATTTTATCTACAGATATTCATTTTATCTACAGATATTATTTTATCTACAGATATTATTTTATCTATGGATATTATTTGATCTTACCTTTTATTTGACGGGTATTATCAGTAATGTCCCATATAGAATACATCTCAACTGAAAAAAATGAACTATAAGAATTCTCAAAATCGTTCTATTATGTTAAAAACGTGACTATTTCAACATAAGGTTACATATTGATTTACAATTTGGTTTATTCCTAGAGAACGATNCGTGCATATAATAAATAGTTTAAAATCTCACTTTTGCCTTTTACTAAAAAAGTTTCATTAAAAAGCTTTAATCAATACTGCCTTCAGTGTAAATATATATCTTTGATACAAGGTGTCCCAAAAAACATGGGAATTCAGTGACGAATTGGATATCGTCTTTGATATGAAATAGCATTGTAATACCTCATTTCAAAAGCCATAATATTATTATGTCTGCTAGAGTTTATTTATGAAAAGGGTAAAAGCATGTAAAGATTTGTCTATAATGTCTCCGCAAGATATGAACAAGTGTGTATACTGCAATTTTCTTGTTTTACTAAGTACAACCGTATGCAATCAAAACATAAACAAACAAAATGTGAACATAGCAGACGAAACTCTTACAGATTACAACTTTCTCAGTAGGTATCACTATACTAAATCAAAGAATTATTTAAAAAGACGATATCGAATTCGTCACTGAATTCCCATGTTTTTTGGGACACGCTGTATCTATAATTATACAATATGTATCGTTTCTATGAAAATGTTTTTAAGAAACGTTTTTTCACCCATTGAAGCAATAAAACTAGAGTATTATATGGAAGTGTGTATATATGATCGAATAGAAGTTATTACAGCTAAAAAAAGTATCAATATTTTTTCAATAAAGGCCGTTTTTTAAGGGGTGGGGGCACAACGTTAGTGAGGGGGGACCAAAAGTTCCCCCCCCCTTACACAAATGCTCTCGTACGCCCTTGGAGATGCATATGGCGGGAAATTCGATATCGTTTATATTTCGGGTAATTGAAAATTTACACTTTATACGAAGTGTGCCAACATTATTTAACCCCCCCTTCCTGGCATTTTTAGATGAAAAGACTGGGGAAATGTGGTTCCCCTTTCCATTTCGAACTTTGAAAGAAACTGAACTAGTGGGAACGCGTCCTCAAAATTTTAGGGGGTGAATTTCCCCACTAGCTCGCAGCTCACTTCTGATGAAAACCATGTTGCAGGTTCTACTATGTTGCAGGTTCTACCATGTTGCAGGTTCTACTATTTTCTGACAATAATTATAAATAAAGATAAAAGAACTCTCCAACTCTTGATGTAGAACTAAGAAGGTATTAAATATTGAGCCGAAAGAAAGGATTGGAAACTACAGGGCTTAATATAAAAAAGTAATTAAAAGATGTTTTTATTCAGGCCCGTAGCTAGGGGGTACAGGGGCACGCGCCCCCCTTTACCACCGAAGGTGGGAGGGGGGTGTACTGGGGTACGTCACACTATCCATGAGACAAAAAAGAAGAAAATTTTAAATGAAAAGAAGGAAACGAAAAAAGAAAGAAAGAAGGAAAAAAGGGGAGAAAATTGGCATAAAATAATTATTTTTGTTACCAATATTATGTGGCAAAGGATTGTTTTTCTTTAATTTAAAGTAAAATTGAATGCTCTCTCAAATAAATTATTTGGGGTTTTTTATTTCTATCCTGTTTTGTGAAATGAAAGGGTTTATATTATTTATTTTTTGTATTTTGATAAGCTTATCCTTTTCCCTTCTTTTATTAGATTAATGATTCTAATAAACCATTGTACAGCAAAAAGTAGCATGGAGACAAATTGAAAAAAATTCTAAAGTATGGCATGGTTTAGGAGAAGCTGTTTGTACTCATCCTCAGAATTTTAGTTTTGGGAAAACTTCAGATTTTCATATTTGAGCTTTTCTTGATCTTTACAGGCATTCATATCCTTTCCTTTCCCTGAAAGTATTGGCTATTCGAGATTCGAAACTTTTCAGTAATACATTTATTTATAGTTTGACTCTAATCTCTGCATCTTGTAACTCTAGTTTTTTTGTTTTGATGCATAGCTTCTCAATAGCACTTAAGGGAAAGAAATCATAATGCAAAACAGGCAAAAAAAAACTATCTTAATGAACTATAATTTGTTAAAAATCTAGTTTTTTATTCTTTAGTCATTAATTTTGACCCTTAGCTTTTGAGGTCAAAACAATTGTTTGTTCCCCCTTTACAAACTCCTACGGTACGGGCCTGCAGTTTTCATCCCATAGAAAATGGCGACATACATAATATGCATCGTCGCACTTACATTCGAAATTTTCGGTAGGATTATCCAAAGGCATATTCATACTTTATAATAGCTAAGCTATAACGTTTAATCAAATTTAGTTATTTTGTTTACTATCTCTAATATAAAAAAACAATACTCATTAAATGTTAGAAATATTAAAATGCGGATTTAAAACAAAAATTGTGCTAGTTTTACTTGTATAAAATATGAAGCTGTTTCTTCATACTTGCAAAGTAATTGGACTATATGTTCAAATTTCCCCCCCCCCCTTCTTCTCTAAGGGGGTAGGCGAAAAAAATATATCTAATTTAAAAGTAAAACACAGAAAAAGGAGGCTTGAATATGGATGTAGTTAGAGTATTAGTGTCTTATAAGATATATCTGTTTAAATCTACATTTCAAATTTTGCCCCCCCCCCTCCTTAAAAATTAAATAATTAGAGGTTTAATACGTAATAAAAATCCCTCACTTCGCGTTTTCATCGAAAGCAAATTTTCACACAATTCTGCACAAAGAAATTGAGTCTTTGCCACAAACTCTGATTTTCCAATCCATAAATCTTTGCAATCTTTACACTATTAGGTTGCATAGATATAAGAATTCGAAAATTTAAGTGTGTGTCAAATACTTTATTTCTTTGCTTGCGAATTCCGCCAACTTTTATACGGAATTTCGATTATTTGATTTTATTAACATAAATATCTGCTTTCATGTTGTTCAGGTTATTTCCCGTCATTTCGTCGTTGAAGTGAAAGAATTCTCTATCTTCTGTTTGTCTACATTAGACATATTAGTTGTTCACCGAAAACCAGCAAATTAAAAGAAAGATTTTTTTGCCTAAACTTTTTTCTCGCCCTAATTGCGCCCTTTTTGGGAGATGTGAAGTTTTTATAAACTAAAATCTGAAAAATAATGGGAGGATAAAGTTTTCTTTTTCTCTGGGAATCGTTTAACATCAATTTGCGTAGATTGAATGAACAGTTAGATAATGAGAGGGAAGGGGGGGGGTATCCAAGATTAAATTGAAGTAAAGAGATGGAGGTATAATTTAAGTACATATAAATTCTAATTTTCCAATACTAGTAGTCATGGTTCTCCATTTATCTCAGACAGCTATAAACCTGATCTGGGTATAGTCTGGAGTAGGGAAGAGTCGGCAGGTTCAAAGCTCTTCTCCGGAGTTGCTCCCGACCCCTTGGTTCGGTCCAAGTTTCATAAATTAACCAAATAAATATTCAGGAGTTCATTATCCGTCCCAAGTTTACAAATTGGCCTGAGACTGAGAAGGGTTTTCTGGTTAATCTTCTTAAAATGTAGATTAGTTCTGTATCCGTATATAATACTCCGTAGTATTTTAACACAAGGGTCCACCCTTGGATGTATGCTTACATTTATTCAGCAGTCGTGAAGTATTAAGTTGCCTGAGGAACTGATTACTTGAAACAAACTCTAGCTTTATTACCCTGAACCTTTGCAACCTTTGTTACTTTTTTCGCCCTCTGTTCTAGGGCGATAAATTCACTTAATCACCCTACAACGGGAAATGTTAGGTGTAATTAAATTTGCTCAAAATTGAATAAATGGTGTTAACCTTTTATTTCTTGTCTTTTTGTAATCTAGAGGAATTGGCATTTTGAAACATTAAAGTTCTACGCCATTAAAGGTTGCAAAAATATAAGGATCAGAAAATTAGAGTTTGTGGCGGGTAATCAGTTCTTTTGTATAATTGAGAGGAATGTGTTTCTAAACCTAAAAATGTTTATGATAGAAAACCAAGCTCTAAAGACGAAAATTATTGAAAATAAATAATCACACGTATCTTTTTGTTATTTATTAAGTTATACATCATACATTTATTTGATTTTATCTAAATAAATCTTCCATTTTTTCAAAAAACATCACTTTTTTCTAAGAGCTTTAAATCAGAAAGATGAGGTTCTAAAATTCTTTAATGCTACCATTTCTTATTTTTGGGTGGAGGAAAAAATTAAAGGAATTATGAGCCCGCAAAATCGTTCATGTAATTTTGCATACACTGAACGTGTTCTCTATGTAGTGACAACCAGGAAGAAAATATACAATATGATCTCTAATCCTTGCATTTTAGTCTTTTCCACATTGAATATCTATTAACATAGTTATGTCAAAAAGTCAGAATATTAGAGAAACTATTAAATGGACCCAGTTTGANTCTCCTATCCTTCCTTCTCCTCTATATATTCTCTAATCCTTTCTTCTCCATATATTCTCCTTCTCTATATATTCTCCTATCCTTTCTTCCCCTCTATATATTCTCTTATCCTTCTTCTTCCATATATATTCTCCTATCCTTCCTTCTCCTCTATATATTCTCTTATCCTTCTTCTTCTCTATATATTTTCTCCAATCCTTCCTTCTCCTCTATATATTCTCCTATCCTATATATTCTCTTATCCTTCTTCTTCTTTATATATTCTCCTATCCTTCCTTCTCCTCTATATATTCTCCAATCCTTTCTTCTCCTCTATATATTCTCCTTCTCTATATATTCTCCTTCTCTATATATTCTCCTATCCTTCCTTCTCCTCCATATATTCTCCTATCCTTCCTTCTCCTCTATATATTCTCCTATCCTTCCTTCTCCTCTATATATTCTCCTATCCTTCCATCTCCTCTATAATTCTCCTATCCTTCCATCTCCTCTATATATTCTCCTATCCTTCCATCTCCTCTATATATTCTCCTTTCCTTCCATCTCCTCCATATATTCTCCTATCCTTCCATCTCCTCTATAATTCTCCTCCGTCCTTTTTTTAGCATTCTTCTATTTATCCTTCTCTTTTATTTTTTAAAAATCTTAACATCTGAGTTAAACCTTGACGTATTTACCACTTCGAACCATTTTCTTTCAATCTAAACTTTGTAGAACTGTTCTGGGACCAGAAAAGTAATTAAAAGTCTCCGTGTGCTGGTAATTACACATGTTTGGGTTCTATGGAAATGGTCGGAAAGGGGGGAGGGGCAGGGTTAGGGAGGGTCGGGGGAGGTGTTGCCCCCGCCCATTGGGCGGTTAAGGATGGTCAGATCAACCATTTACACATGTATTTAGTCCCAATCTATTCTTGACCAGGAGCAGAGCTAAACCTTGCTATGCATTACAATCCACATCCTTACCAGGTACTTCAACTTCAACTTCAATATCAATTATTTTTATTTGGTTTTAAAATTTTAAATTTTACCCTATTTTAACTAACTGAAGTTTTTTATATTATTATTTATTTTTCAGACGGAGCATCGTCTTTACTCCTTCTCCAAACTAGAAGATTGTAAGGAGCGGGTTCCTCTTGAAGATTTAAACGACAGAAAACCATGGAGTCATCACGCCAATAAACAATCGTATCAAACTCCACCTTCAACTCTATCCGTGACACCTCCCGCAGAGCTGGAGGCGTATCCGTCCTCGGTTTATCCTTCCCAACCTCCTCCCCTTTCTCCTCCGACTAGCCCCTCTCCAGATGGCTCCGGATATCCCTCGCCCTACCCACCCTGGTGGAACTACTGGTCCGGATACCCTCATCAGTATCCACCCAACTTCTGGCAACCTGGAGCTAAACCTTCTTCATATTCTCCTCCGCCAATCCCTGCTCCGATACCAACCGCAGGACATGATGCTCAGATTGCTGCTGCACTGCTTAAACACACCCAGAGCATGGTTGCGCGACGCTGCAGAAAATGTAAATGTCCGAACTGTGAGGACGGGTCGGTTGCAGGACACGGAGAAAAGAAGAGACAGCATATCTGTCATGTTCCAGGGTGCGGGAAGATCTACGGGAAAACGTCCCACCTGAAAGCGCATCTGAGATGGCATGCCGGAGACAGACCTTTTGTTTGCAGTTGGATGTTCTGCAACAAATCGTTTACCAGGTCGGATGAACTTCAGAGACACCTGAGAACACATACCGGAGAAAAGAGATTTGCCTGCATTGAATGTGGTAAGCGGTTTACAAGATCTGATCATCTGAATAAACACTTAAAGACTCATGAACACAAGAAGCTTGAGTTTATGAAGCCAAATCCTGAAGACAAAATGGAGGCTGCAGACCTAGAGAATATTCCTAATAATGGAGAATGGAGACAACCTGTTCAGTTCAATTCTAGAATAGTGTAGTTCCAGACAATTCTCTACATAATGAAAGAACAAAGCAATAGTCAAAATTTAAACCCGGGGTTAACCCACTCAACAGATCACTGTGATACGATTAAATAATATTTTTATTTAATTACCTGATATGGCATTAGATATCTTGTAAATATATGTACCAAAGTAAACTAATTAAATAATATTTTTATTTAATTACCTGATATGACATTAGATATCTTGTGAATATATGGACCAAAGTAAACTAATTAAATTTATTTGAAGGATTTCTACCAATTAAAATTAAACTATTATACTAGATTGAGATCACAGTTTTGCTGGGAAACCAAAATTTTTCTGTAACCTAGACCAAACTAAGAACATTTCAGTGGCTCTATACCGAGTTCCATAATCAAAATGTGCAATCGTTGAATAAAAACTATATTTTAACATGGATGAAATATAAAATTTTTGTAAATCGAAAAAAAGCTTCAATTTAATTAAAGCTTTAAAGTTCTATCTCCAGGGGTGGTTACAGGGGGGGGGCGGCAGGACCTTCGCACCCCCTAGCAGTTTCAGAGGGGGCGTAGACCCCCCCGAGATTTCAGAATAGCTTCTCAATAGCACTTAATTAAGGGAAAGAAAACCTAGTACAAAACAGGAAAGTAAAAAAATAATTTGTCTTTTTGTCCCTAAATCTGGAGTTTTTTGTTCCGAAATATATATAGCATCCCCTTACTTCAATCCAGTATCCGCCCCTGTCTATGTCTTCAAAATGTTTAACTTTTTTACGCGCATTTTAAATATTTCGGTGTAAAATGCCGCGAGTTATTCCTAGTTAATAAAACTTCAATCTTTTTTTGTTAAATATATCGAAAACCATAGATTTTTTCCGGGTTTCATGGGTTAAACAAAAGACATCGGTATGACATATATTTTGTAATTTATTATTTATAATATTTAATTCTCATCTATATAAAGTTTAGACACCAATCTTGTGAATTCGAATATTCTAACATGCTGTAATCATTGCAATACTTAAGACTAACCCTATTTTTTGCTCTAACGTAGTCAGATAAAAAAAAATTATCTCCTAGGATCGAACGAGAAATTTTTGTGGCCGGCCTTTCCTCTCTTCATACGATTTCTTTATTTTCAAGGAGAAAATATTCATAAGTTCAAGTATAAACCAGGAGAATTTCTAAGGGATTGTCAACAAAATTCAAATAAAATGAGGGGCGTACTCAGAAATTTTTCCAGTGAGGGCTTAAATGTTTTTTATTTCCAAAAGGTGGGGGGGGGGGGGCTCATCACCCTTTTGGGCCTGAAACGCCCCTGGAAACTATAGATTTTACTGAGTTAAGGGGGCTGAGTCCCCATAGCACGCCTCAGAATGCTCGAGGAAACCTTTGTCTAAAAAAAACTATGAAAATATCAGTTTGTAAAGTCCTAAATGTTAATAACACGAGATCGAAGATGTGATTAAATCTTCCATTGAAAAATATTTTACATAAATATTTAAGAAAGTGTTTTGAAAATAGTTTAATTTATTTTATTTAAATCATCAAATATTTTATCATAATCTAAACTTGATAGAAAGGAAATAAATATACTAAAAATTATTTTTAACATAATGGTATTAATCCACAGCAGTGATTACGAAGAGGTATCCCAGATCTTTAAAAATGATTACGAAGAGGGTTTCCAGATCTTTAAAAGTGATTACGAAGAGGGTTCCCAGATCTTTAAAAGTGATTACGAAGAGGGTTTCCAGATCTTTAAAAGTGATTAGGAAGAGGGTTCCCAGATCTTTAAAAATGATTACGAAGAGGGTTCCCAGATTTTTAAAAGTGATTTCTAAAACTTTATGTGTAACCTTCGATGAAAAAGAAAAAAGCCATAAAAAATAATCATCTTTTCTTTCATGACGCGGTTTTAAGTTGAAACAAATTAGTCGCATTTTCCTTATATTTCAGTAAACTTTGTTAAACCTTCACGTCACGTTGATCTTATATATATATATATAAACAAACTCTGATCCCTGAACTTTTAGATGGGTTTAGTTTTAGAAACCTTAGGGTCTGTACTTTTAGTCATTGTTAAACAGATATAGATAGGCATTGTCTCACAGTATCATCGTTAAACAGATATAGATAGTCACTATCTCATCGTACCATTGTTAAACAGATATAGATAGTCACTATCTCATCGTACCATTGTTTAACAGATATAGATAGTCACTATCTCATCTTAAAAAAATGCATTTTCATCGTTGTTGTTCTAATTTCTCTGTTTCTACTTTAAAGACTACCATTATTAATTTCTACAATATATATTTTTATAGCGCATGCATTAACAAAGAAAATGCAAGGTCAAGGGGGGGGTGAAAAATGCCGACTAAGATCGATAACATAGAACAAATTCTAAGTAGGGTTATTGCAATTTGTGAAGTAACATTGAAACATTTAACAAAAAATTGACATATGTACATTCAATTTGAAATTACAGTCAATATTCACAATGAAAAGTAACAATAGATTTTTTGCATTAAAAAATGCACTTTTTGTAATCACACAGCTGAAGAATATAAAAGAAGAGATTACATTTAGACAAATAGATTTTTCTTGTTTCTCTTTAAAATTTGGTTTTCGTAAATTAATAACAGCGTCTGCTTTAGAGATTAAAGTTCTTTATAACTTTTCATTCATTTCAGTTTTTTCAAAGGTTTCATTCAATGCATAAAATAATAAAGGAGAGGTCAGAAAATTCATAATTTTTACCGACATGGAATTCAAAACTTTTTCATAAAATGTTTTGCTATGATATCTTCCAAAGGTTTGCTATGATAGCTTGCTAAGGTTTGCTATGATAGCTTGCCAAGGTTTGCTATGATAGCTTGCCAAGGTTTGCTATGATAGCTTGCCAAGGTTTGCTATGATAGCTTACCAAGGTTTGCTATGATAGCTTACCAAGGTTTGTTATGATAGCTTACCATGGTTTGCTATGATAGCTTGCCAAGGTTTGCTATGATAGCTTACCAAGGTTTGTTATAATAGCTTACCAAGGTTTGTTATGATAGCTTACCAAGGTTTGCTATGATAGCTTACCAAGGTTTGCTATGATAGCTTGCCAAGGTTTGCTATGATAGCTTGCCAAGGTTTGAATTTATTAATGGCAAAATCTTTAAAGGAACTTATTTCTTTTGGTAACTCTAATTTTTTAATTCTTATATCTTTGCAGCCTAATGGTTTAAATCTAGTAAAATGGATAGTTTCAAATAGCAAAGGTTATGCCATCAGGTTGCAAATATATAATGACCAGGAGTAAGAGGAGAGTAATTATATAATAACTTGCATACTGAAACACCTAGGTGACAGGTTTGGAACTTTTTTGTTCTAAATCAAAAATGACGACTATAATACAGTGCTTACATCCACTCATTGAGTACATGTCAACAAATTGCTGAACGCTTTTCTAAAGTAAGGATTAAAGATGGTGTAGATAACAGGGTTGAGAGTAGAGTTGAGATATCCTAACCATGTTACAAAACTGATCACCTAAACAAACAAATAAATAAGTAAGTAAATAATAATTGAGATAATTTTTATCATATTTTGTGCTGGGAACATAAACGGTCTAACAGTCTTACATAAAATTTGTTTGACCTGAGCTAGGAACTTTAGAATGGTGGATATCAGGATTAATGCTTAATCCTCTCTTTTTGCCAATCTCAATCAAAAAAAGAATCTCAATCGTATTATTGAATACTTTTCTTCACCGATTAATTTACAAAATGGCCGACGACAAATGCTTTATTTGTTAGAAATTAAGGATTTCTCTTATGGGATAAAATTTATTTTCAAGGCTGTCTTTGGTCAAAACAATTTACAAACTATATTCCTGCACTCACTTTGAAGAAAATAATGTACGGATATCCAAAGAGAGAGAAAAAGAGTGGATTAAGGTTTAAAATTGAAAGTTTCCACAGTGGATATTCGGATTAAGTAGTTGGGATTAAAGGTTATCCATTCTAAAGTTCCCAGCTCTGGACCGAATTTAATAAATTTGAGCTACGTCGCTGAGCTGACCAACGACCGGTTCAAATTTGAAACACCGATACAAAGTTAAAGAATCAGGAAGGATTTGTATCGGTTATTCAAATTTAAATCGCGGTAGGCAGTTCAAATTTATTAAATTCGGTCCCAGGAATGATTTGAATCTCTGATTCAAATTTGAACCGGCGATAATCAGTTCAGCAACCTCTTCGTTAAATTTTGTTCCTGGAAACCTTTAAAAATGGGTTAACCTCAATGATACAAAACTTTAAAAAATCAAACTTCGCTAGCCAGGAATCATTTATTTAAACCAAAAACATGTTTTATTTTATATTTGTTTGTATTTTTATATTGCAAAATTGTCTGATGGAAGCGGAATGTTTTTATTTTATTAATTACTAGCTTAAGAGGCCGGTGTTAACAAATGAAAAAAAATTTAAATTTTTTTAAAAAAATTGTATTGTACAGTTTGGGTAATTAATCATTGTTTTATGCGAACTTGTAAACTTTAATAATTTTAGAATACTTTTTTAAGATTTCTGATTACTGACAAATGACAAACTTTTAAATGAAAAAAGTTTTTCTAATTTTATAGTTTAAAAAAGAATGGAGAGATAAAAGATCGTAAAGCATGAAAACTGAAAACTGTTTCAACTGAAAATGAAATGAAAGTTTGTAAAAGGTTTTTAGTTTAAATCTTCTCTGCTCAGATTAGAGGGGGGGGGAGTGTGAAAAGTGTATTTAATAGAAAAACTGAGATAAATTTACACTTTACAAGAACTTTGAAATCTTTTTATCTATGGGACAAAAAATAAGGATGGCTGAGGAGAGGGTTGTAAAGAGTAATCCAACTTTATGTATTTTGTTGTTTTATTAACTTTTTCTCAGAAAATAATATCTTTTTAGATCCCGCTCTCTACCTTCACTTTCTCCTCCCCTCCACCACTCTCCACCAGTATCATTGGATTCATATATATATATAATCCGATATATTCATATCAAATTCTTAAATTATTCTAAAACAAATCTTCCTAATCAACAAAGAGTTTTTTAATAGTTTTTTATGATACTCAGTTTGTTTGGTTCAGCCGTTTTGACGTTTATCGGTTACAAACGTAAACAAACAGACAAGCAAAGTATAGAAACCTAATGTTAATATCGTTTTTGAAGGACCAACAAATTCTAAAGTAATGTTTTACAATATATCAAAAAACTTTTCCCGCAAGGAACCAATATTAATTTGAAAATTGGAAATGTTTGTGACTAATAATTATTGTTAAAAAGAATTTTTATTCTCAAAAACTCAATTTCGTTTTTCATAAAAGTTGCACAATATCAATATTCATCACATTCAAATTTATCGCAGTAAGCACCTAACCTTGGAGCGTAAAACAAAAGAACTAGATTAAAAGGGACTGTCGGCGTAAAGTGACCTGGAATTTGAAGTGTCACATGCCCAATTTACAATGATAACCATTAGCCCTTTATTTGATTAAGAATTAAGGAAGAGAAATTATAATTTTTCTGACTTTTAAAGGGTTCGTTCGCGAAAAATGAAAGACTAACGTCGAACTGAATTCGATGGCTATCGCCGCTACTATTACTTCTATCTGTAGCGTCTATAAGAAGAAAAGGGTTAAAAAATTCTCATACCGAAGAACGTAGGGCCCATACAAATTCACGAAGTTGCAATATTTTAATCAGATCGGAAATAATTCAATTGAATTTGAAATTAATTATTCAGATATTATAACCTGTAAAAGTCGAATAAAATTCGATGAATTCCTATAAAGTTAATTTTTTTAATGTACGATGTACTTAAAACAACGATTTTTGTTGTCGAAATGTGTCTCTCCCACGTGGAACCACTAGCTGCCAAATAATCGTCATTTAAAGTAAAGCGTGTACAAAAAAAATAAGAGATATTATAAAATATCAACTATATACCGATGCATCGAATTGAATTCGACATATATAGGTTGTAATACAGTTGAACCTTAAATGAGCCATACATCGAAAGAATTTATCAAATGCCATCTTGACAATTTTTCAATGGGTTTTTTACCATTTTACTTAAATCTAAGTATTTGCAAAAATAAATAAAAAGCCATGAATATGTGGGAACAGTTTTAAAGAGTTCCATACAATCATTTAATTAAAAACTAAATATCTGCAACATTCCATTATCAGAAAGTGAAGAATACAACATTTAAAGAATTATTTCGATGTATGGCTTATTTAGGGTTTAACTGTATATAAATAGTTCAATTGAATTATTTCTGATCTGATTGAAATAATTGCGGGTCTAGCCTAGGCTATTTTACCCAGGCTGCAAACATACTAAGGGCTTCATATCCTCTTGGGCTTGAGCTAGATTATTTGGCTTTATTCTTGGATTGGATTGATAGGCTTTATTTCTCCGCCTGGGAGCAATGAACTTTACGGTACTATATACAAGTTTAGAACCCTTGGGTTGAGTTCACAGTATTTTGGGTCTCACTGTATATTTTTAAAAGTATGAACTATTTTCTGTAATATTTGAACTGCTGACTTTAAAAACCAGATACAAGCAACTTTAGCGATAAAAAGTATTTTTCAAAAGAATTTTTTTACTTTTCAACATTTAGTTTAAAAATGTTAAATGATCCAAAATAATAGTTCAGTTTAATAATTCATGGATTATCTTCTTTGTCTCTAATTTATTGTAAATGTATAAAAAAAATATTTACAAGTTTTTAGGACAAAAATCACTTGTCGTTAATTGACCAAAGTGTATACTTTATATAAAAAAATAATATCGCTTTCAATCTAATTGCCTGAACTTATTTTGAAAACTTACATGAGAAAAAACGGCAGCCAGCAGACAATAAAGGTTCCAACAATCACTCCCATGGTTTGTGCAGCTTTCTTCTCCTGTAATCAATCAATCAATCAGAGTTTTATAAAAAGTTATTTTTTTCCAATATATTCAAAACTGGATTCTTTTTCGTCATTCTATCGGGTATAAATACTTCAAAATTCAAGGTATCATTTTTATAAAACTTAACCGTCGATCTTGTTGAGTATTGTTTTTAATCTTTTTTTTAGACGTGCAAGTTTCTTAGACCTTCCAGAGACCTTACGTAAATCTTAGAAGTTAGAAAAAAGATAATGTTTGCTATGACAAAATAAGAAACTAAATACATGCTTTGTTTAAGTATGAGATTACACATTTTTAGCATTTTTATCTTAATTAAGTTATAGTTCATGTATTTCAACAACCAAATTTGTATTTGTAAAACTTCTCACATGTTTACCCCTTGCTATGTGGGAGTGGGGGGGGGCTCTCGCGCCCCTCCTAAAAAGACCCTATAGGAAAGAAATGGAGGTGCAATACATCTTCAAAAACTAGACCTTCATTTTTAATGGTTTGCATTTTAAATAAAAATATTACAAAATAACCTTTACAACTTCATAAAATTAAGTTTCACGGTGAAAGTTTCAAAAACGATAGTGCTTGAGCTTTTCAGGATTGAAAGCGTAATTTCAAATAACAATCCAAGATGGTAATGCCCGATTTACAACGGTACCCTTGAACTTTTTCTGATCAGGTATGAAAGTTTTTATATCTTCACTTTTGGTTTCTTTGCGAAAGTGACTTGCGCATTTATTGCTTACAAGAAGAAGCAATTGAGACACAGAATTAAACACTTTTCGAGTTTGGAAAACGACGCTATTTTTCACATTTTTATTTATTTTTATGTTTTATTTACATGGAGGGCCACTTGAAATTACGCTTACATTCCCTTTAAGCGATGAAATTTTAGTGTTATTAAACTATGAAACTATGAAACTTTAAATTTTAGGAAATAAATGATTGTTTTCCTTCGCCAGGGATATTTTCTGTTTTTCCTCTTGGAACATTCTGAAACAAATATTAAAATATTCACATTTTTAGAATAATATATTTATCAGGCTTTATTCAGAATTTTACATGATCACGAAAGTAATTTTAAGATTAGAAAAGTTGTTTTATTTTCTGTATTTAGTAGCCCACTTTAACATAGTTCTTCCTTCAAATTTTCACTTTTAACCAAGGGCGGATACAGGGGGGGGGCGGGGGGACATTCGCCCCCCCTGAATTTGGAATTTTTTGTTCCTATTTTCAGAATAGCTTCTCAATAGCATGCTTAAGGGAAAGAAACCCTAGTGGTAAACAGGAAAAATATCTGTCTTAATAAACTAGAATATGTGAAAAGTTAAAAATCTAGTTTGTTAGTCTTTAGTCATTAATTTTGACTCTTTTTGAGTCTTTTAAGTCAAAAAAAAATTTCACCTGCGGCGCAATTTTTTGTTCCTAATTATGAATTTTTTTGTTCCTAAAAAATCTTGCCCCCCTCACTTAAATCCTGTATCCGCCTCTGCTTTTAACAAAAATTAACAAAATTTATAATTCTTAGTTTTTATGTCATTTGCTGAATACATGGATTTTTTCCGTAATTATTATCTTTTCTTTTATCCAGATCTTTTACTAAAAGGATAATCTAATACTTTTATCTTTACATCCTAAATGTTGTAAACCTTTGATATTTCAAACTATCAATGCTGTAAGATCAAGTAATCTAAATATGAAGTGTCAAAGGTGCAAACCTTCAGGTTGTAAAGTTTTGTGACATTAGAGAGCTTCTCTAGTTTTGATTTAACACACAAACACGATAAAATCAAAACATTGTTGTTCTTCACAAATCAAATCATATTAGCTCTTCAATAAGAGAAGTTATGATTGAAAACATAAAACATTTACAATTACTCAAATTACTACAATAAGCCATCTTTTTTCAATTTAAAAATATAAAAGATTTGATAAGGGAAAAACACAACTTAAATAATTTATGAAAAAGGGTAGATATAATTGATTTACATATTTATAAGTTTATTTTATGTAAATGTATTTTGAGAATGCAAACCTGGTATAATTTATAATCAAAATTCAGGTTCAATACATTCCCAGGAGTATATATATGCATATTTACTTGTCTGTCTGTCAATCAAGAGTTAAAAACGATCGAAACGTCTGAACCGAAATTTTTTGTTATTGGGGTTGAGCATTTTGCATGATCTTAGGGTATGTTTAAATCCACTCAGGGACTGAAATGTTTGTTTCAATATTTGATCTATATATTGCTGAATTCAAAGAAATCGAGATGTGCTTGAATCGAAAATCAAATACCTTTAAAAACCTATCCAACCGGTTTCAACTTAAATCTTCTTTATTTATTTCAATGAATTGCGTTTTTTCATAATTTTGAAAAACTTTATTTTATTTGATTTCTTTTTGTAAATTATTAAATTTATATATTGTTTCAGGGGCATGAGAGTTCGTTTAAGAAATCGAATATTAGTGTTAAATAAAATCAAATATTTTTAAATTAATAAATTCCAACAAAATTACCTATTTCTAGCAAATTCGAAAGAGCCAAAATATTCTTTAAAATTGAAATGATGAATGACACTTAATTTTATTATAACAAAATTGCAAATTTTAAGAACAATCTTTTAACTATTTTTAGAACAAAAAATCCCAAGTGACGTTTTTTTCTTCAAACAACACTAGATCAAAGAATCATGATTTTTAAATACATAAAAATCTTTTTACATCTGCATCATGCATGGTCCCAGGGGTTGTCTGTGTCTCGCATAAATATACACTTTATTATAAACCTTTCTTTTCTGCAGTTTCAAAAAGAAGTTTATCAGTGAAAATATTTACTTTGATGAAGGGGGAAGGGGAAATAAACCTTTGAACTATGCAAAGTAGATATTTATTATTTTTGAAATTAAGATAATTGAGCAAAATGGGAAAATAAAGAGATGTAAAGCATGTCGTTAATTGTCCTCTGTAAATAGTATCTTTATTCTATAATATTCTAATATTCTATAATATAATGATCCGTGATTTAAAAGATTCAGGAAAGCTTGGGCTTTTGGATTTTTCAAAGAGTTGAATTCATAAAACCGGTTCAATATTTGATTTGGCGGATTTTCATGGTTGGAATTGGCGCATTCCGGGTTTTGCATTGATGAGAAAAAACTCAACATTGAGCAATGAGCATTATTACCCACTAAAACCAACCGAGGTCGGCTTTATTTTCATTGGGCCTAACTCCGTAAGTCGAGCATAAGATCTCGCAGCTGTCAATCACGTGAGTCGTCAGAGTTGGTTCTAAGATTGAGTCTTAAAGCTGGGTTTAAGGAATTACGACTCGAGCTGAAGCTTTTAAGTCGCGGGCTCAGGGAAGTTTTACGGATACATCGCATAAAAAAAAGTTGTTCCAAAAATTTTAGATTTTACGAAAATCCACGAAAAAAATATAAATCAGCAAAATTGTTATTATTGTTTTATCGATGAGAAAAAGATTGAGCAACAATCAAAAGTTAACTAGATGATGGGCGCGAATCGCCCTGATAGCTTAGTATTCTATAGTATTCTATAAAATAATACGTAATTATCAAATTAAAAAATATTTTACTTCATATTCAGTGAAGGTCTGGTGCTGGCACTTTCCTGCAGCAATTCCTGAAAAAAAATAATGATCCTGTGTTAATGTGCAATGGCTCTTTCATCTAGATATATATATATTACACATTTTCCTTGTTTCACTCTCTGCTAAACCGGTTAAACCCTACTATATCTTCGGTCAGTGTACTGCAGATTACTGCAGTACACTGACCGAAATCCTAAAAACAGCCCCTCTTAATTAAATTTTGCAAATGTGCTAGTTGCGCCACTAAGTGAAAAAAGGACAAAAAACTTTTAAAAATATATTTTTTATTCTTATCAGTATATCATATCAATATCGTATCATTATTAATCACGGTATTAAGGGTACCGTTGTGAATCAGGCATTGCCATCTTTGCATGGAAGGTCACTTGAAATTAAGCTTACAATCCCTTTAATATTTCATGAGTTCCTTATTTGGTCAGCTAGTCGAAAAATTACCCTATTTTTTCATGAAAGAACTTTTTACTTCCTTTTATAGGAATATCAAGTACATGATCAAGTGTATAGTGTTCTTTAATGACATCTCGGTCATGTGCTGTAGAAATCCATTTCTTACTCACTGTAATTCGACAAACGTCGCAACAACGGAACCGAATGAAACAGCTGGACCGAATTAAACAGCTGAACCGAATGGGAAAAATATTTGTGTAACATTGGCTGGTTAGAATTGAAGATTTCCCTCCTCCATTGAATTTGTTTTCGTAAATATTAAAAATATTCACAATAATAAAACTTACTGTTCTAGTTCTTCCTGGCTCGACCCTAAACCCGCCCTGGATACCTGAAAATATTACAAAATGTGAAATTGTAAAAAATGAAATTCATCAAACTTTGGATCCGAGCTTTCATGAATCTTTCCAAATCTTTATTCTTCATTACAGATAGTTTTAAAAAGAAACTGAGTCTTCGCCACAAACTCAAATTTTCGAATCCCTATATCTTTGCAACCTGATGGTGTAAACTTTTTATATTTAAAAATATAAATGATCAAACAAAATTCATAGTTTGAAATATTTAAGGTCTACCACAATGGGTTGCAAAAATATAGTGATTAGAATTTGTGGCAAAGACTAAATTCCTTTGCAAATAATACCGAGAAACCTGTGTGTGCCCTGTATTCTGTGTAAACTCCATATGACCAACATATTTTACGATAATCCCGAATATTTTATGTCGAGAGTGGAAATATTTAGTTACTGTTACTTTAGTAAAATAATAATAATCTTTCAAATAAAAAACATGGCTTTATCACAAAATTACATCAATTGTGAAGCGTTAGAACTAAGGATAACTCTGTTATCCTTGATCAACTAAAGCATTAAAATGGTACCGGCGTGAATCAGGAAGCGGTCACAAACTCTACAACTGAAAGGTCAACAGAAATATAACATCTAAAGGAAAAATAAGGAAAAACTCTGATTTCACCCACTGTGTTCTTTTTCAGAACTCATTATAAAAGATTTTAATTTGGTTATGCAAAACTGAAATCTATTTTATAATTTCTTCATTAATTCCATCTTCTTTTCATAAAATCTTTCTGGGATTTTTAAAGATATATTCAAAAAAAATTTTAATTCTTCACAACTGCGATATTTCTTAAGGGAAATGTAAAATATTTCTTTAAAGAAATTATTCAAATATGAAACTACAATATTAACTGTTACAAAAAGAATCTTTATCATTCAGAAATGCAGTTTCAAAATTTAATAAACTTAAACGGATTCTTCGCGAAAAATGAAAGGGGGTATAGGCTTACGTCGAAAAATATTCGATGGGGATTGCTTCTATCTTACTTCTGTCTATTAAACTAATATTTCGCTTACAACTTGTTTTTACGGCTGGCGCTGGATTTTCGTACATTTCTGGAAAATATTAAAATGTCGTCTTCATTATTAAAAATCCTCGAAACACGAATGAATGTTTTCAAAAGTAACTCTCAGATCATAAAAGTAAAAAATAATATGAAATATCAACTATATATACAAATGCGTTGAAGAAAAAGCGATGACTATAGGTTGTAAAATCTAAATGATTTGTTTGGAACTAATTTGATGTTTTACGATCCAAGTCGAATATTGCAACTTTCTGAATTTGTTTGGCAGCTACGTTCTTCGGCATGAGTCGTTTTTATCAATTTTCTCCTTATCCGAATATTTTCACGAACCCTCCCTTTAATGGCAAAATATTAGATTTACCTTTAAATTTTGGAACAGTCTTTCTTCGCCAGGACTTTCCTGAACCTACACTCCGGGTACTGTTATGAACACTGGGAGGAACTGGGGGGAGGGATAGACCAGGATGGTTTAGTCTCAGGGGTTGAATCTCCTCCGAGTTTAGTTTCAGGATCAAACTTTTCACTGAATTTTGTTTTTGTGGTCGTCGCAATCTTTCCAAAACGTTTTGTGTTTTTATAGAATTAGATTGTAAACCAGTATTTAACTGCTCTTTGGAATTCAGATGCTCACAAGAATTTAGCTGCTTAGCTACAGTTAAAAGTCTCACAGAATTTACCTGCTCTTCGGATTTTGGCTTCTCAAACAATTTTTGTTGCATCATACAATTTTGCTGCTTTGGTGATTCTACTTTATCTCCTGAATTACACTTCTCCAAATTGACCGGAGTTGTATAATTTAGGGGCACTGAGATATTTAGCTGCTCTAAAGAACCAAGCTGCTCTGTAGAATTTGGGTGCTCTGTAGAATTTAGCTGCTCCGTAGAATTATCCTGTTCTGCAGAATTTAGATGTTCTGTAGAATTATCCTGCTCTGTAGAATTTAGCTGTTCTGTAGAATTCAGCTGCTCTTCATGTTCTTCAGAATCTATCTTTAAGTTATGGTCTGGACTAATTTCATTTTGAAAATCTTCTGTGTTAAATATGTGCTCTACAGATTTCTCTCTCTCTTTAGATACGATCGTTGCTTGTGAACTGAATTGCTTTTTATAACTGATTTGTTTTTCAGAATTGAAATGCTCTGCGGAATTTATTTGTATTGCAGAATGTGCCTGTTCTGTTAAATCGATCTGTAGAGAAGAATTGATTTGAATTGATGATTTTATTTGTAGTCCAGGATTCGGTTCAGCAGGGGACAAACCTTTCGGAGATGTAACTTGATCTTCATGTCCTTCATGAGTCATATCTAACTCTGAAAATTTCACATGGTCAATAGAGTTTAATAACTCTGCAGAATTGGAACGGTTTTCCATGTTTATCTGCTTTGCCAGTTTTACTGGGTCTGCCGAGTTAGATCTGACCATAACATAATCGTTGGTGTTGACTGGTACCAGCTCAGAAGACGATGTTGTTTTCTTCCCTGAGCTGAGGGGCAGCAAGGGAATATCTTGATCCATCATCTCAAACTCAGCTCCGACCTTTGATCCATTGAAGAAACCTTTGGTTTTTCCTCCCGGTAGAAGCTTACTGTCGGAGCAGAGATCAGCATGAGATCCGTTCTTTCGACTCTTCATGTACATCTTCAGGTTCTTCTCCTAAACAATCCACGTTCTTACACCCAACACATTAAATATATTTTAAATGTTTCCATTTATAGAAGAATCAAATTCACAATGAAAGCAGTGAATAGGCATAAAAGTTTGCTAGGAAAATAATGCATCACCGAAGTATCAAGTAAATCTGGTTCTAACCAAGGAAATAATAGAGAACGGGTCTAAATTTAGATTTTTCTATTGAACTCACTTACCGTAACGTTGTACCTCACGCATTAGAAATAGATTTTCAGAATTATAAAAGTCAACTTTTAAAGTGATGTGGACAAAAACACAAGGGCGCAACCTCCCTCCCCCCCCCCATAGGGTTAAGTCAATAATTTGTTGTAATTGCTATAGGATGAATGACTAAGAAATAGATGCAATGATGTCTAAACATCCTATCATCCATTCTCCTAATTTTGCAAGATTGAGAAAATATCAGCAAAGTAAACTCTGTGATTTATGAGTGATATTAAACATTAAATATAATGGAGTATATTGAATCAGTGTAGATACACGCTTTACATAATTCATGGATCATCGTTTCACACTGTAGGCAAGGTTTCAGGAAAATCTTATAATTTAGGATTAGGGATACTTGATCTAGGTATACTTGATCAATGGATACTTGAACGGACTACTTGATCCAGAGATACTTGAACCAGGACTACTTGATCCAGGGGATATTTGATCCAGGGATACTTGATCCAGGGATACTAGATCCAGGGGATATTTGATCCAGGGATACTTGATCCAGGGATACTAAATCCAGGGGATATTTGATCCAGGGATACTTGATCCAGGATATTTGATCCAGGGATACTTGATCCAGGGATATTTGGTCAAGGAATACTTGATCCAGGAAAACTTGATTCAGGGATACTTGATCCAGGTATACTTGATCCAGGTATACTTGATCCAGGGATACTTAATCCAGGGATACTAGATCCAGGGATACTTGATCCAGGGATACTTGATCCAGGACACTGATCAATTTATTTATGATTGATCTAAAATTAAAACTTTACCTTGACATTTGCAAGGATATGTCGTCTTTCTTTTCTGTTCTTAGCAACAAGTAGCGGCAAACCGGCCTATATTGTAAGACTAAATGAATCAATGATGAGGAACTGAATTTAATATTCGTATTGAGAAACTAAATTCAATCATTTCCCAATATCTTTAACAATCTCCATAGGTTACACTAATCGATAGTTTGACTGCAGTGTAAAGTGGTTTTCTAAATCCACCAATTGACTTTAAAAATGATTTTAATTTTATAGAAATTTGATAAATATTACATGGTCTAAAATGTTTCCAATCCTGTTTTTTTCTGGTTGTTATTCGAAAACTTAGTATAAATCAAAAATGTCCAATCATGCTTTTAAAAATATAATATCTAAATAAATTATGTATTAGTACTTAGAACAAAGAGACGTGAGATTATAATAAAGAAGAAAATACAAATATATTTAAAATACTGATTTTATTAAAATATATTCATGTTTTGAACCTGAGGTTTCTGTTGCTGAATGGTTCGTCTTCTCCTAATCCTAGTTTTCTGCGCAATAAATATCTTGAAGTATAGAACCAGGATGAGTATAAGAGGAATATAGAAGGATCCTTGAATATATATAGATAAATGAATGAATATTGAGAATTGAAAAATATTAAATCTTCTCCACTTAAATTTTCTAAACTGTGTATCATATGACCTACTTAATTTAAAACAAAATAAAATTCATTCATTTCAAGATCTTAAAATACACACATCTGTTGCCTGCGATGAAGAATGGTTCAAGACATTGAATTTTCATTTAAGTATTATTCAAAGAAACATTTAAATTTTATGGTTTAAAATACAAAAAGTATAATAAGCCATATGTGATATATCTAAAAACTGATTAATGATAGATTAAAGTTTGATAAAGGATTTGAGTCTTTGCCACAAACTCTGATTTTCTAATCACTATATCTTTGGAACCAAATGTTGCAGACCTTAGATATTTCAAACTATGAATTCTGTTAGATCAAATAATCTGAGTTTGAAATATCAAAGGTTTACAACATCGAGTTCTAAAGATATTGAGGTTTAAATATTTGATTTTTTTCCAAAGACTCAATTCCTTTGAAAGTAAAGAACTGTTTTGTGTAGAGTTATAACTTGTATGGAATTTTCTCTAGTTTTTAAAGAAATCTCTTAACTAATTTTTAGATAAGTTTAAGAAAACGCCCATCGTCCCCCTTGGTTAAACATGGAGTGCAGTAGAGTTGGGTATTTGATAAATAAGTTTCCTCTTTAGTAATTCATCAGTTTAGTAATTTCATGCATAATTAGGATGAAAGGATCAAACTTCTCGTAATTAGTTTACAAATCTACATTCTAGATCATTCTATCCATCATTAATTGTAATACTATTTATCCTACTCATCCTACCCATCCTTCTCATCTTACCCATCCTTCTCATCCTACCCATTCTACTCATCCTACTCATCCTACTCATCCTACTCATCCTACCCATCCTACTCATTCTACCCATTCTACTCATCCTACCCATTCTACTCATTCTACTC